ACATGAGACTGCTTATTTTATTTTTATACCTCCCCTACTCACTTGTTTTCACAATTTTGCTAAATGATTAGCTTGAATATTTGTTGATATATTTTTAATAGCAATGTATTTTTAATAGCAATGTGCACTACAACAGATGACTTAAATAAAAAATAATTAAAGGACCACTCTAGGCACCCAGACCACTTCAGCTTAATGAAGTGGTCTGGGTGCCAGGTCCAGCTAGGGTTAACCCATTTTTTAATAAACATAGCAGTTTCAGAAACCGCTGTTTTATTAATGGGTTAAGCCTTCCCCATCTCTAGTGGCTGTCTCATTGACAGATTGCTCACTGTGATTTTCACAGTGAGAGCACGCCGCGTCCATAGGAAAGCATTATGAATGCTTTCCTATGTGACCGCTGCGCGCAGCTCTTGCCGCGCGTGCGCATTCAGCCCAGGAGGAGGAACGGAGGAGGATCGGAGGAGAGCTCCCCGCCCAGCGCTGGAAAAAGGTAAGTTTAACCCCTTTTCCCCTTTCCAGAGCCGGGCGGGAGGGGGGCCCTGAGGGTGGGGGCACCCTCAGGGCACTATAGTGCCAGGAAAACGAGTATGTTTTCCAGGCACTATAGTGGTCCTTTAATGTGGATATAAGATTATACCTTTTTGCACATCCTGTGATATTCAATCTGTACTATTTGAAAAAAAAACACTGAAACTGGCTTTATTGTGAATTTAGTTTCATGACATTTTGCCAGGTTAATATTAAACTTTGCAAAGAAATAGATTTTCAAAACATGTGTACTGATTTGTATTGTTATTTTGAAAATGCCTCGTTATCTGATATTCTGCATAATGGGAAACAAATAATGCTCAAATCAGTGACATTTTACTAGAAAACCTTGCCTGAAATTTAATTGTTTTTACTTGTAGATTATAGAATATCCAATTAACAAACAATTGAAAATAAATGTAGCATGTTATTCTATTTATAACTTTGAAGAAATAATTGCTGAACTATGAAAATACATTTTATATTTTAATTTTTCACATTTCATTGTTGTTAATCAGGCATAAAAGCATTATTAGCAGAATGTATATTAACAGTTGTTCTTACTGAGTCTCCCTTTATTTGTGAGAAAAAAAATACTTAATGCCCTTAAGCCTTGTATAAGTGATTTTCTATGAATAATTACAAATACTTAAAGGTTAAAGGTACTCAACTCTATATACCTTTTGTAATGTTATAATTATTTTCAAATTTAATTTAAAGAAACACTCCTGCATTGTAAATAGATACATCAATTTGTAACGCTCTTGGGTTATTTAGTTTACTGCCCCCTCCTTACATGTAAAAATATTAGTTAACTTACCTCTCATCCAGGGGCAAGATAATCTTCACACCGCAGATTCACTCCACTCTTATTACTGATAATATCCCAGCCAATCCCATATTGAGAAGACAAGCATTGGAAGACAGAGTGCATGTTCAGCAATCATCAAACTCCATCGGCTATGCTTCTCACAGAGAAGAATTTAATCTGCTGCTTCTATATGAGAAGCATTGTTATCTGCTTTGTGTTGGTCTACAATGGAGTCAGAAAGAGCAATCAGCTATACAAAGTATGAAGAACAGGTTTCACAAGGTAATGTGCAAAATTACTCCATCTTTATTTAAGCCAGTCGCTTTAAATTAAAAGTTATGATGTTTCAGCTATAAAAGCCGTAATCATGTATGCATAGAAATTTACATACATCCAATTTAATTACCATCACTTATTTCATTGGTCAAAACACGTGTCTAACAATATTGTATATTTAAAGAAATAGGTTTACACAAAAAGAAACATAATAAATGTAGTAAAGCATAAATGAATGACTAAAGAGGACATTCCTACAGAACAATTAACTATATGAACAAAGCAGACACATAATGCATGCTTAGAAAGAAAAAGATATAGGTAATCGTTTAAAGAGAAAGTACGAAACATTATTTCTTAAAGCCAAGGCTAAGAGACCAAAGTAGGCTTTTCATATAGCTTTCATTTACATTCCCTACACTAGTAGGAGAGTTTTATATTTATATATATGTATATATTTGTTCGAAGGTACCACATTTATATACAGTGCTATTGGGGGCTCTATGCAGAAGTAGAAAGATACACATATCTAATAAGCAACACAAAACAAAATGTATAAAGAATGGAGCAAAATTCTCAAAGCTAAGAGGTAGCACTGCTTTGTTTTAGGTTTTTTTTTGTGTTTTGTTGGTTTTTTTAAGTTTTTTGTTTTTGGACCAGGGGTTATTAGTTAACTAATTAGAATTTCCTATCTAAAATGGGTTATATTAATACAAACAAAAATACATTATATACATCTTATCTGAATATCTCACCAGCAGCAAAATATGCGACCAGCATTCCATGTGTGCATGAGAGTCCCCTGGAAAAGGACACTTGTAACCATCTGGAGTATTCTTATACCCCCTCAGAGTCTCATAATAAGCAAAAGGTAATCCTGAACATAAAAGGTGCCTCCCATAGCAAATTGCTTCCTGCTCAGTCTATAGGAAAAAAAGGAAAGGGTAGCTTGGTTGTTTTTTAAATTGTTCACGGTATGTGAGTGGTAATCTATTTGTAGGAGTCTCGCGCTATAATCTGACTTTTTGGGATGTGTAATTGCAAAGCTAACTATTGACTCTTTTTAAATCATTGATAGAAGAGCTTTAAGAAATGCAAGGTAAAAGGTGGTTAAGTCACGGTAGCACTCTCAGATACATCCTTATATTGGAGATCTAGCCTGTGGTATCGGGAGGCTATGTGCTTAGCAATATATCATTTTAGCATTACCAAAAGTTATCTTTTACAAATAAATATTCTTCTTTTTTCATTAATTAGGTGTGGAGTATTTTTGGTTTGCTTTACCCTTTCCCCCAAATCTCCTGGTTTTATGTAGTCAAATGTATTATACCTAATCACTACTACTGTAAGTGTTAAAGAGACTCGATTGGTATATACTTAGCTCAAGTATCATTATATTAAGACAGACCAATATTTTGACTCCCAGTGAGTATCTACACTAATTTAATAGCATTTTTTGTAACAGGACTTTTTGTTAATTTTTAGGGTTATTTGTTAAGGAATTGTGTTTTTTACTGCCGGGTCATTTTCTTTGTAGGATTTTAAACAAATGTCCTCCCTATATTCACTCCACAAACTGAGATCTAATTAGGAGACTCCAAATGTATATATTTTGGTTCCGTTAGGTGATGGGTTTATTATTATTATTTTTTTTACTGATTATTTAAGTCCTTGAATACTTTTAGAAAAATGTGTGTCCAATTTTAAATAAACTTTCCTTATAATTTTTTTTAGGGATTTGCTAATTTCCTTTTTTCCTCTTTTAGTAGGGTTTTTTTGGAATTAGTTATTATTCTCCAATGCTCTGTGGGTTATGCCCTTGCAAACCTCCCAACACGACCCATTGATCCTCTGTAGCAGCGGTTCCCAAACTGTGCCACACAGGGGTGATTATAGCACCGGGGAAACATTACTGGTGAACACGGGTCCGGTCAGGTACCTCAGTTCTTTAAGACCATGACTGGATCCCTGTAATGTCGGTCGGCTGGGAGGAAATGAAAGCCTGTCACTTCCTCCCAGTATCCTGCAGGGAGGCAGCGTGGAAGGAGGCAGCCGCAGCGTGAGGGGAGAGGAGCACGAAGAGCTCCAGACCCCTCACTCCCAACAGCAGCAGGACTCCAAGCCAACCTCCTAGCACATAAGGTAAGCTGACAGGAGGGTGGCTGGAGATATTTTTGAAAAATCACTTGTATGTGTATGAGTTTGGGTGTGTATGTATGAGTGTGTGTATGAGTTTGAGTGTGTGTGAGTATGAGTGTTTGTGTGAGTATGAATATCTGTGTGTGAGTATGAGTGTGTGCATGTGTATGAGTGAGTGTATGTGTGTGAGTGAGTGTGTGTGTGTGTGTGTGAGTGAGTATGAGTGATGAGTGTGTGTGTGTGTGTGTGTGTGTCAGGGTGTTTGTGAGTGTGTGTGTGTGTGTGTCAGGGTGTGCATCTGTGTGTGTGTGTGTATGTGTGTATATATCTATATATATATATATATATATATATATATGTCAGTGGGCTTCTGTGTCTGCACACACATCTGTGTATCTGCATCTGTGTGTCAGGGTGTGAGTCTGTGTCTTGGTGTGGGCATGTATCAATGTCTGTGTGTGTCAGCGTGCATGTATATGTATGTCGGTGTGCATCTATGTGTGTTTATGTGTCCGTGTGTATCTATATGTGTGTATGTGTCGGTGTCTATATGAATTTGTGTGTATGTGTCGGTGTATTTATATGCATCTGTGTGTTAATGTACATGAATATCTGTATAAGTATGTATGTATGTATGTAGTAGTGTATGTGCATACATCCAGTCAAACACCAGCACAACATACAAGCACACTGCTGCAATCTAACTCAAATATTACATATACACACCCCTGCATATTAATACAAACAAAAATACATTATATACATCTTATCTGAATATCTCACCAGCAGCAAAATATGCGACCAGCATTCCATGTGTGCATGAGAGTCCCCTGGAAAAGGACACTTGTAACCATCTGGAGTATTCTTATACCCCCTCAGAGTCTCATAATAAGCAGAAGGTAATCCTGAACATAAAAGGTGCCTCCTATAGCAAATTGCTTCTTTCTCAGTCTATAGGAAAAAAAAGAAATATGGGAATACAAGGTATGGATCTAACATTTCTTAGATAGGGTGCATGTTTAGCAATCAAGAAACTCATCGTTAATGCTTCTCACAGAGAAAAATTTAATCCAATGCTCGTAGAAACCTAGTACGTCCGCGGCAAATATGAGCGCTACACTTACCTGGACTGACACCTGAAAGTGAAAAAAAAATTATCAAATAAATATATTGTACATATATTATATTATTTTGCCACAGAAATCCCCCAAAGTGACATCAGCTAAGCTAACTCCCTCCCGACCCAGCACACAACCCAATTCATATGTAAGTGCGGCCGCTGCCTGCTCGTTATAACATCCAGGCGTCAGAACTGCATCCGCATCAGCCGATAATTGCGAGTGTGACTCCATTTGCTCTGAGCACTCAGCAAGCTTGGAGCGGTGGGAAGCATCTCCCCGTGAGCGGCGTGATGAACAGGCAGAGCCGTCTGTGGCTAAGTTCAAAAACACCCTGGTTGATATCATATAAAGGCAATCGGGCTGCAGAGGAGGGGGTGGGTGGTGTGTGGTCCTGTTCCCCGTCGGGGCTTTCTGCCTCGTGGCTGGTGGTCCCAGAGGAATATTTAAAGATACATCACAGGCAATAAGTGGTGAGGCTGGTGACTCAATCAGATCATCAAACATTGTATGGGAAATGGAAATAAATACACAATTTTCACCATATGATGATTTTGCCACAACCAAGTTCTTAGACAAGGCTGGGACAGTACCAAAGATGTCTGCTAAGAGACATACAGAAATCACAAAGGAGGCCCCTGCAATGGAAGTTACTGTGGGTGGTCCACCTGCTTTCCCATACAGGGCACCGCTTCCCCCTTGATCTATGGAAACATCAAGAAGATCTTCTCCCTTATCTGATCAAGTGTAGGAAATGGTGCAGATAATCACACAGGATGTGCTAGACTTCAGAAACAATTTTAAAGCTGAATTCGCAACGTTAACTCAGAAGGTGTCAGTGCTGGACTACAGAGCTGATGAAACGAATGAGGTCCTGACGGAGCATACTACAGAAATAACTAATTTTAGTAAGCACATACACTCATCTGAACTACAATTAAATTCCACTAACACTAAATTGAGTGATATGGAAGACAGGAGTTGGAGAAATAATTTGAAAATAAGGGGGATCCCTGACTCTGTTCAGCTTGCTGAACTTTCAGATTATATGAAAACCATCATAAGATCAGTGAATCCAAAGCTCACTGATGCTGATCTGATGATTGCTGCATCCACATTTCCCAAAACCGGATTCAGCTCCTAATGATGCCCCTAGAGATGTGATCATAAGAATCCACTTCTACGCTATTAAAGAAGATTTTCTTATGGCTATACGTTCTAATAGAATGCTAAATGATTATCGTCACATTCAAATATTTCAGGATTTTTCCCCTGCCACTATGCGAAGAAAGAGAGAATTTGTCACAGCTGAACTACCCCAACAAAATATCAGTTACAGATTGGGGATTTCCTGTCAAAGTCCTGTTCCTTCTTGATGGTCAAAATTATGCTATCATGACCCCTGAAGAAGGGATAAGAGTGCTAAATACGCTTCCAGCAATGGCACCTGCTACTTCAGATGTGTGGAGATACAGCTGTCTTAAGTCACTGTTTTCCAAGTTCTGGCTCTTCAGTTCCTGATGTCAAGCCTGGACCAATGGTTTGATGGCTTCCAGATACTGCTTCTTTGGTTCCTGGTTTCCTGTTTTTTTTCCTGTGACTTCAGATTTAGGATATTGGCTATTGTTTACCATTCATAAAATCTGGATCATCAACCATGGTCACTGGATCCTGGGCTCCTGGTTCCTTCTACTGACAAAGATTATTGTTATTTATTTTTTTATTGTAAACAATAACCCTTGGACTCTTTTTCTTTGATTTTTTTTGTTTTAAATAATCTTTTACCCAGTTTATTTACATTTTTAGTTATTTAATATAATTATAATATTTTTCATTTCTTGATTATTATTTTATCTATTTATTTATTTATTCTCTTTCTTCTCTTTCTGATACCCACTGTCCTCTTGGTTTTCTCCTCCCCATATAGGCCCTTAAATTTTTTTGAGATGGAATAATTTTTTACTTCTCCTCTCATGGACTTATTTTTTATATATATCTTATTTTTTATTTAATTGTTTTGGCCCCTATTTGGGGACATTACACAATCAATTTTCCCTTTACTATGCGGTCTTCTCCAAGTTTTTTTACCCATCTATTATTTAAGTCTTGAAAATACAAAAAATGTCATCCATTATGTGTTGTTTTATGTTCTTAATGTTATAACTCTGTACAATATTTTGGTGATACACTGAGCTAAACATAATTCGGTCAGATGGACCTTGCTCACTCAGGTAAGATTGTTTAACCCCTTAAGGACACATGACATGTGTGACATATCATGATTCCCTTTTATTCCAGAAGTTTGGTCCTTAAGGGATTAATTTTCAAATATGCTTCAGGTTGTGCGTTGTGATCGGATTCCTTCCCCAATTTTTTCTTTTATTATTATTTGCTCTTTTTGATCAATAGAAATGATTTTAAAATTTTTATCATTTAATGTGAAGGAACTGAACACTCCGCACAAATGAAGACTTCTATTTAAAGAGGTGTAACGTAACAAGCCAGAGGTGTTTTTCATTCAGGAGACTCATTTTAAAACAGATAGTGTACCAAATATTCTGAGGAAAGTTCCACCCAGTATCACTCTACATTTCGTAAGCAATCTAGCAGCGTCTCCATGTTTTTTAGCAAAAATGTAGATTATAGATCAGGGTGGTACAGTAGACAGTAGAGCCAGAGAAATAAATACTGAAAAAGTGCTGGGAGAGGTAGGAGGAGCACCAGGAGAAAGCAGTATACCGTAGACCGAGATTACAGAGAATGAGAAGTAGCTGTTGATGATCAACAGGGTCAAAGGCAGCAGAAAGATCAAGGAGAATTAGGATAAATTAATGACCATGAGATTTAGCAGCGATTAAATAACTGGATACTTTGGTCACAGCTGTTTCAACAGAGTGACGAGCATGGAATCCAGACTGAAGTAGAGAGTTGTCTGTCAATCTCGCATACACAACTCTCTCAAGGAGCGATATAGGGGGTTAGTTGGATGGGGAGTTGGGGTCAAAGTAGGGCTCTTTCAGAATCGGTGTTATGGTTGCATGCTTGAAGGGTGAAGGAAATGTGCCGGAGAAAAGGGAGAGATTGAAATTTTTTGTGAGAGAAAGAGCAAGAGAGGGAGACAGAGTGCGGATGAGATATGGAAATAGGATCGAGGGAACAGGTGGTGGGGCAGAAGGACTGGACAGAGCAGAAACCTCTTCCATTATAGTAGGTGTGAATGAGCATAGAACAGTGGAGGGAGTGGGGTTGGGTGATGTATTGGAAGTGAAGGGAGAGAGGTTAGAGATCTCTTCCCTGATTATATATGTATGTAATATGTTTGCAGAGTATTACAAAAAAATTTACAATTTGGTTTCCGATCCCACTACAATACAGCCCACATCTGATACAATACGTTCTTTTCTTGACAGGGTCTCTTTAAAACAGATACCTATGGATAAATTGGATACTCTAAATTCTCCTTTCACCTCAAAATAAATTATAGACGCCATTAATATGATCCCACAAGGCAAAGCACCAAAACCTGAAGCTTTACCATGACGTCTTATAAGTCTTTCTCTGGCATTCTTACCCCTCATTTAACTCACTTATTCAATTAATTTTGGAATGCAGTTGGAATGCCAGGGGAGGCTTTGTGCACTCAGATAGTCATGTTACCCAAACCTACAAGTAAAATACAAAACGTACGGTGTAAAATAATTTGAACAAATCTGAAGCTGTTGCATGCTGCACCCTGCAGGATCCTGACAGACAGACCCAGCTCAGAGCAGGTACAGCCGTTTGAAGTCTGAGACATTCAGATTTGAATGCGGTAGAGGTTTAGTCGTTTCCTAGTGAATTTACAGCAGTTATTCTCCAAATCATGATAAAAAAGGAGTTCCTTTAAAGAGAGTAATTCTACTGTGGGGAATACTATTTTGTATTGTGTGCTCTCACCATATTTTATTTATTTATCACTTATGTTACCCAAACCTGGTAAGACACCTAACGTCTGCTCAAATTTTAAGCCCCATTTCATTAACAATGATACAAAAATTTACTCAAAAATCTTAGCAAACAGACTTAATTGACTTCTTCCATCTCTAATTGACAAAGACCAGGTGGGTTTTTCTTTGTGAACCGAGAGGCTCCGGATGGCACTAGGTGTTTCATCAATTTGATTAATCATCTTAAATCTACTTGCACGCCCTCTTTGCTCCTCTCTTTGGATGCGGAGAAGACGTTCGATAGGATCCATTGGGATTACTTGAGGGAAGTTCTGTCGTGTTTTAATATCCTAGATCCCTTCATCAAGGCTGTGTTTGCACTATACTGTCAACCAACTGCTAGAATATCTGCGACTGGTTTTGTTTCCGAAAAAACATTTTACTGTCCAATGGGACCAGAATTGGGGTGCCCACGTCTCCACTCCTGTTTGTGCTGGCAATGGAGCCCCTGGCTCAGATGATACGCTGCAGCACAGATATGGATAGTATTGAAGTAGGGGGCAAGGAACATAAAAAAGGCCTTTTTGCAGGCGACATCATGTTATCGCCTAAAAACCCAATGACTTCACTTACTCCTTTGATGTCCATCCTGCAGGAATTCGGCAAAATTTTGTAACAAATAGAATCCAGCCAAAACTCAAGTTCTCTCGTTCTTCATACTTTGGTAGGACCTAGACATTTTGAAAGTTTGACTTCGACTGGAGGGATTCTTAAATCTCTTATCTGGGCATTAACCTATATTTATCAGTGTTAAAACTACATATAGCTGAATTGGATGTAGAATAAAGGTCCTCTCATTCGATTCATTGTATTAACGATTTATTTTTGTCCTCATTTTTTATCATTTGAACAACTACAAAAGAAATTCCAATTGAACGATCTTGACGCCCCTGCACATGTGAATTTGGTAAAAAAAAATTAGTGAACATTTTGGGATTTCCGACCAGGAACTGAGGTTTAGAAAATAAGCATTTCCATTTGCTATGGCTTTTTTTCAGTTGAGTGGGTTTGAAACTACCATACATGACAAAGTGGGAAAGTAATCTAGGTGAGGTATTCACAGTAGAAGAATGGCACACATCATTACTAGCACTGAAAGGTGTTACTCGTTGCTTTTCACACTTAGAAAATCATTTTAAATTAATTTATCGGTGGTACTTCTCCCCATTTAAAAAGTTTAGACTACACCTCTCCACATCTAATTTATGTTGGAGAGGCTGTGGACAGACAGGTACTTTATACCATATTTTTTGGACATGCCCAAAATTATGTGATTACTGGCAAAAAATATTAGAATTAGTCTTATCTATTACCGAGTTCTCCTGTCGATTTAACACCTGGATTATACAAAACAAGAAAGTATAAGCGCTATTTGAGTATAAAGTCTTAAATTTATATATAATCTTAACAGCTGCTAACCACCGTGAGAATC